TGAATCTCTGATGGTACGATCATTCGTTAGGACACTTCATGCGACCGCCTTCGACTGGTACCATCATCTCAAGCAAGGAAGTATTAATAGTTAGGATGGCATGAAGAGCATGTTTCTCACCAATTTCTTCGATGACAACACTAAGGTGTCAATCAGAACACTATTTGATGAGAAGCAAGAATACGGAGAATAAGTTGACACCTTCGTCAAACGCTTCCAAAACAAGGGGATGAACTACAGAGATCTGGTCACAGAAGAGTTCATACTCCAGACTTGCCATCATAATCTCTCCCTTGATGTCCTCAAGGTCATGGGGGTTGTCCCCTCAACCACCTGGAAAGAATTAAAACTACATGGCGAATAGGTCGAGCGCTTCCTCAGAAGAAAGAATGCCTAGAGAAGCTAGCCAACAACACCTTTGGTTACTGTTGATGTTAATCAAACGTCAAAATAACAACCTCAGAAATAGCTAAGGACTCTAGATCCGAGACTCCAAAAAGAGTACTCCTTGCAAGATGAGAAAGTTCCAGCCATCTTGAAATACCTCCTTACCAACGACAAGATCGAACTAAGAGGATTACGGATCCAAACTACTATACGTACTACATGAGGGTTCTTCATCCCACCAAGGTTTGCTTTGGCCTCAAAAACAAAATCCAAGCTTTAATTGACTCCGGCGTCATAACGGAAAAACAAGCCAAATGAGAACGGTGTAGACTCCAATGAGTATATAAGTATAAACTACTTCTCCATCCACTCCGAAGAGTTTACGAGTATAAACAACTCCTCCTTTGTACTACAACAAGGTATACAAGTATAAACTATTTCTCAAACCTCCAACTGGTACACGAGGCTAAACCATTTCCTAAAACTCTATTTGGTACATGGGGCTAAACTGTTCCCTACCTTTGATGGGAAGTTCCTGAAGAATACTGCACATGGTATTCTTAAGGATAACCTAAAACTAATAAATTATTAATCATGATAAAGAATGATTAAGAATCTCCCACTCTGGCTATTTAATCATTTTAAAGATAATTAAAACCCTCCCATTGTGACTTCTCAAGCACTCTTTCGTCGAGATAAAATTCAATGACTTCATCCGGTCAATCTTCCCTCACGAAACCCACACGGTTTAATTGTTGACACGCCCCGCTTCCTAAAATACCCGGGAATCGGAACGTGAATAAGCCCGTGACGTATTAGATTGAGAAGAAATGTACACTATCATTTTTTTCTCTTTTTTATCTTTTCTTCTCAATCCAATACGCTAAGCGGGAAATACATAAATCTTAATCACAGGTCCCCGATCACAATAGAAAGAATATAAAGACAATCCAGAATAAGAAATAAACATTTCATCCATGGTAAATCATCCCAGACATAAAAATATAGGTCAAACATACCCTTATTACAAAACGGTCCAACTAGGAATAAAAATACATAGTTCATAATAAAAGAAAGTACAACTAAAAAATATGAAAATCCGTTATCAAACTAAGGAAAAAATATGATAAAGAGTCCTAATGCTCCACAACTACTAGAGAAGAAAACTACTACGCTTCAGCTTGATCTTCTACTCCATCTGCAAGGCACTCCTACTGTGAATCCTCTAGTTCCTGTACGATTCCGAGCTGAGACTGTCTGTCTCCTAAATCTAACGTACACTAGAGAAAACAGGTGTACGTCAGTGTGTATGGCACACCACAAGATCCTATATGGAAAAATATAACGGTCATATGACCAATGCAAAGTTCGATGCAACAACGGAAATAACAAAAGAAGCATGCAACTGGGAATATAACCAAAACAACATGCAATCCACTACAAAAGATAACAATCAGAAGAATTCATAAACATCCGAATAACAAAGTCATACAATTAGATGGAATTAATACTTAAAAATCTATAACAAGAGACGTAGTACGTCGAGCGAAATAATCCAAACAATGAAACCCTCATGTATATATCATATGTCTCAAATTGTAGATAATTAAATATTAAACCCAATCTATGTATAAAAATAAATACAATTGTCTTACATCTCACAAGAATCATACTTAGCAAAGAATCGAAGTCATGTAACTAGTTATCCTACAACAGGTCACTAGTTCACAACTCACACAGAGTCAACGCTCATATTATCTGGTAACTGACTGATCGCAAATCATAAATATCCCAACTCCTCAGACCCACCCCGGTGACTACACAAACTTCACCGATGTGAGCTCGGAATACAACCACAATCACAAATATCTTAACTCCTGAGACCCACCCCGGTGACTACACATATTTCACCGGTGCGAGCCCAGAATACAACCACAATCACAAATATCTCAACTCCTCAGACCCACCCCGGTGACTACACAAACTTCACCGGCGCGAGACCGGAATACAACCACGATCACAAATATCTCAACTCCTCAGACCCACCCCGGTGACTACACAAACTTCACCGGTGCGAGCCCGCAATACAACCACGATCACGAATATCTCAACTCCTCAGACCCACCCCGGTGACTACACAAACTTCACCGGCGCAAGCCCTAAAGATACGTCAATAGTCTTATCCGATCACATGAACACTGACTTCCCCACCCCAACTCTTCGTAATTCTAGGTCAACTACACACGAGGTTCTAGATCCTAACTGTGTCACACAGGTCACTGTAGTCTTGTACTTCTCATGATTCTCAACATGGAATAATAAATACAATTACGCTAAGTGTCAATGTCATGAAGCGTGAATAGGGGTCGTGATCACATGCAAGAAACATACGAGAGTAAAGCTACTATTAACAATGCAAGATGAAACTACCATTAACATCAGATGTTTTGCATACGAAAATCAAAATCTCAGTTATTAATTCCAAGAATAATTTCCTTTAAAATTATCTCTCATTATAAAAATTCTAAAATAATCTTCTTAAAATACATTTTATTATTATTTATGAACAGTAATACTTTTTAATTTTATAAATGATTTCTATGATATTTCATAAAATAATATAAATTACTCTTTTTCTCAAAATAAAATTCTTTTAATCATAACAATTATTCAAAAATACTCCTTATCTAAAATAAATTATTTTCTCAAAATAATTCCTTTTAAAATATTTTCCTCATTATAAATAATTCTAAAAATACTTTATAAATATATTCTTCCTTTCAAACAACACGAAATTAATCAAAAACTTTTTTGACATACTTATTCATCATTTACAACATCGTTTCACAGAATATATTCACCGCAGTGTTATCAACAACCACACAATTAATATCATATCAGCACAAACTAATCTACGCATATACGTAATAAATTCATAAGAGATAAAAAAATTAAGTTAACGAGACAGAGAACAAGAGGGATCTTGCCTCGGGTTTCGTCGAACGAATCGACGTCGACATGTGAGTCCGTGGGTCTGATCTGATGTGGAGAGTTGGACATGGCGAGGAGCATGACTTTAGCGTGGGGTGGTAGATGGCAGAAGACTTTTTGTGAAAGAGAGAAAGGAGAGAGAGTATTATATAGGTATTTACATATTGATATTAAGGTTTAGGTATTTAACTAAAATAATTAATTACGGGTACAAAAAAATTAAACTAATTACAAAAAAATTATCTACAAATAGAAACGTACATGTTGTGCTAATTCAACAGTTGATACGAAATAGTCAAAGTATACCCATATTATATAATTAAACAAGAATAATTAATAATAGAAATATTTTTACTTAAATTTAAAATTAAATAATTATGGGACAATTACGTACACAGTAAAACGTACTAGTTATACTAATACGACAGATAAAATGTAACAATAGAAATAATACAACAAATTATATCAAAAACACGTAATTAATAATACCATATATTATATGAAATAATTTGTAATAATATTAATAATACAATATATTATTTAAAATAATACGTAATAGTAAATTGTTTTAACTAAATATTAATAATACGTATATTATTTAAAATAACACAGCAAATTAATTCTAGAAATTTTTACCGCACATAATAAATTTATAAATATCAAAATCATTTAAATAAATATATAAACAGATTTTAAATCGTAGTAATTTGTAAAAAATAGAGAAAAATACAAATACTCTTTTAAAAATAATAATTAAATATTTTAAAATATAAAAAAATTATTTTAACTACTATCAAAATTCATGGTCCTTATATTCTACCCCCCCCCCCCCTTAAAATAAATTCCGTCCTCAGAATTAAAAGAACCTAAGGACAGAGATATGGAACGAGAGTGGGTACTCACAAATCGATGAGACAAGAAACAATGTGAAGCTCTAGAGTCAAAGAGTGATAAAGCAATAACAGAAGAAACAAGAACCTTATCTAGTGTAGAAGGAAAATACATCAAAGCTAGCACTCATAAACAAATCCTATCATAACATCATAAGGCAATGCGAAATAAGGAAGTTCATATGCAAATAAAACTAAGAATGAACTATTCTTACCGGTGATAACTTGGTTGTTCGCCTCTGCTTTCACGACTGACATCATAAACACTTATCGCTGCGGTTGCTGCCCTTGTGTTTCCCAATAAACCTGCTGCTGTAGAGGAAGAGGCCCTGCTTGAGGATAGGGTCCGTGCTGAGCTGGAGCTGCTGAGTCTGATTGAGGTGGAGCTGGAAGAGCTGCTCGAACTAGAGGTGGGGGCAAGCTGGCATGCTGCCGCTGCGGACATTCCTGGTTGACATGATCGGGGGACCCACAGTTGTAGCACAAACGAAGACGCCTGGGGCACTCCTGCTGAGTATGCCTAGGCTAGCTACAATAGGAACACTGCACCGAAGGCCGGCCGCGAGTCTGCAGTCCTGGACGCTGATAGGGATGCACATGAAGAAGTGGTTGGCGCTGAGAAAACTATTGTCGTTGCGGATTCTGCTGCTGCCTCGAAGGTGGACGCTCGTCATCTCGGGCTGGAGCTGCTGGTGTCTTGCTCTGGATCACATGTGGGTCTTTAGGCTCCTTCTACACGCTCTCAATCTCACGTGCTGCATCCAGTACTGCATCGTGAGTCGCAAGTGCTCTACCAGCCAGAGCAAACCTGATATACTTATCCAGGCCCTTCTGAAACTGATGCCTCCTAATGGTAGGGTCTGTAACCAAGTGGGGAGCATATCGGCTCAAAGAAGAAAACTCGGCCTTGTACTCATCAACTGACCGACCTCCCTGCTTGAGCTTAACAAATCTACATAGAAGTTTGTCCTGAGCTGACTTAGAAAAATACTTCCTGTTGAAACGCTCTGTGAACGTCTCCTACAGGATTGGCCTCTCAAGGTGGGTCTTCTCAGCTTTTCACCATATCCAAGCGGTGTTGGTGAGCTGAATATCCATGAGATCCACCCATTCAGCAGGGACAATACGGGTCACCGTGAGAATAGTCTCAGTGACCTTCAAGAATTCCTTCGCTGCTAGGGGTCCTTCAGCACCAGAGAAAGAAGGGGGCTGCATATACCGGAACTCTCTAACACTAGACTCTGGACGATGGGGAGGCTGATGCTGAGGCTCCCGCTGCAAATGCCTAGCCAAGAACTGCTGATTCGCCATCAGTCTATGAATCATCTCTCAGTCCAAGAATCATCTCCAAAAGCTGGTGCGGTTCCACTTCAGGCGGCGGGGCACTGCTACTGGGCTGGCTACCATTACCACGCGTAATTACCATGGATCTAAAGAAAAACGAGGATCAAAGAGGATAACCAAGGTTAAAATAAAAATAATATATTGAAAAATAGGAACTAAAATATAATTATCAAAATAATAGTATAAGAACTTAATTGTAGTCTTACGAATAAAATATAACATGTATCTAAATTGTCTACTATATTCTTACTAGAGAGGACTCGGGACCGTGACCTGCATGGGCCACCAAAAAAAGCTATTACGCCCGCTTCCTAAAATACCCGGGAATCGGAATGTGAACAAGCCCGCGATGTATTAGATTGAGAAGAAATGTACACTATTTTTTTTATTCTCTTTTTTTTTTCTTCTCAATCCAATATGCTAAGCGTCAAATACATAAATCTCAATCACAGGTCCCCGATCACAATAGCAAGAATATAAAGACAATCCAGAATAAGAAATAAACATGTCATCCATGGTAAATCATCCCAGACATAAAAATATAGGTCAAACATACCATTATTATAAAACGGTCCAACTAAGAATAAAAATATATAGTTCATAATAAAAGAAAGTACAGCTAAAAAACATGAAAATCCATTATCAAACTAAGGAAAAAATATGATAAAGAGTCCTAATGTTTCACAACTACTACAGAAAAAAAAACTACTACGCTTCACCTTGATCTTCTACTCCATCTGCAAGGCACTCCTACCGCTAATCCTCGTGTTCCGGTACGATTCCGAGCTGAGACTGTCCGTCTCCTAAATCTGACGTACACCAGAGAAAACAGGTGTACGTCAGCGTGCATGGTACACGACAAGATCCCACATGGAAAAATATAACAGCCGTATAACCAATGCAAAGACCGATGCAACAACGGAAATAACAAAAGAAGCATGCAACTGGGAATATAACCAAAACAACATGCAATCCACTACTAAAGATAACAATCAGAAGAATCCATAAACATCCGAATAATAAAGTCATACAACTAGATGGAATTAATACTTAAAAATCTACAACAAGAGACGTAGTACGTCGAGCGAAATAATCTAAACAAGGAAACCCCCATGTATATACCATATGTCTCAAATTGTAGATAATTAAATATTAATCCTAATCTATGTATGAAAATAAATACAACTGTCCTACATCTCACAAGAATCATACTTAGCAAAGAATCAATGTCATGTAACTAGTCATCCTACAACAGGTCACTGGTTCACAACTCACACAGAGTCAACGTTCATATCATCGGGTAACTAACTGATCACAAATCATAAATATCCTAACTCCTCAGACCCACCCCGGTGACTACACAAACTTCACTGACGCGAGCCCGGAATACAACCACAATCACAAATATCTCAACTCCTTAGACCCACCCCGGTGACTACACAAACTTCACCGGCGTGAGCCAGGAATATAACCACAATCACAAATATCTCAATTCCTCAGACCCACCCAGGTGACTACATAAACTTCACCTGTGCGAACCCGGAATACAATTATAATAAAAAATATCTTAACTACTCAGACCCACCCCGGTGACTACACAAACTTAACCGGCGCGAGCTCGGAATACAACCACGATCATAAATATCTCAACTCCTCAGACCCACCCCAGTGACTACACAAACTTCACTGGCATGAACCTGGAAGATACGTCAATAGTCTTATCCGATCACATAAACACTAACTTCCCCACCCCAACTCTTCCTAATTCTAGGTCAACTACACACGAGGTTCTAGATCCTAACTGTGTCATACAGGTCACTATAGTCATGTACTTCTCATGATTCTCAACATGGAATAATAAATGCATTTACGCTAAGTGTCAATGTCATGAAGCGTGAACAGGGGTCGTGATCACATGCAAGAAACATACGAGAGTAAAGCTACTATTTACAATGCAAGATGAAACTACCATTAACATCAGATGTTTTGCACACGAAAATCAAATTCTCAGTTATTAATTCCAAGTATAATTTCCTTTAAAATTATCTCTCATTATAAAAATTCTAAAATAATATTCTTAAAATATATTTTATTATTATTTCTGAACAGTAATACTTTTTAATTTTATAAATGATTTCTATGATATTTTATAAAATAATCTAAAATACTCTTTTTCTCAAAATAAAATTCTTTTAATCATAACAATTATTCAAAAATACTCCTTATCTAAAATAAATTATTTTCTCAAAATAATTCTTTTTAAAATATTTTCCTCATTATAAATAATTCTACAAATACTTTATAAATATATTCTTCCTTTCAAACAACACGAAATTAACCAAAAACTTTTTTTTGACATACTTATTCATCATTTACAGCATCGTTTCACAGAATATATTCACCGCAATATTATCAACAACCACACAATTAATATCATATCATCACAAATTAATCTACGTATATATGTAATAAATTCATAAGAGATAAAAAAATTAAGTTAACGAGACAACGAGCAAGAGGGATCTTGCCTCGGGTTTCGTCGAACGAATCGACGTCGACGTGTGAGTCCACGGGTCTGATCTGATATGGAGAGTTGGACGTGGAGAGGAGCATGACTGCGACATGGGGTGGGTGACTGTGGAGTTCGTCGGATATAGAGGGTGTCGGTGAAGGCG